ACATGTCATAAAAATAATTTATCAATTCGATTATTATAACAAATCAGATCAAATTGTTATCTGATCAGATAATTATCGATGATGAGAATGTGATGTATGTGAAAAGATTGAAGGATTTGAATAAAACAAACATTTTTTATATAACTTGTTTTGACTATTTTACCCATCAATTAAGATGTCATTTAAGTGAAAATTACTGTCTGAACGTTGACTGACGATTTTATGGACGAAATTAAAGACTTGGGACCGACGCTGCAACTACATATAAAGGTTTGGGACTTCAGCCGTAAAAATAAAAGGTTTGGGTGTAATCTGCAACAAAATGAAAAATTTGGGACCACGACCGCAATTTTCCCCATTTTAAAAGTCAATGCAAGATAAATCCACTCTGTTTAACAACAAAGAAACCAAATGGCAGGTTCCAGTGTTCTACAATTTACTCTAGTATCAGACAATTCAGACCCAAATCAGACATGGAAAAATGAAATTTGGGGTCACTTCACTTGAGAACTCAACTCAACCCAACCCATTAAAGATGTACGAAGATTTTTCTAGACTAGAATTTCAAAATATACCGAAGATTTTCATGAAGGATAAATCTTTCAAAGGAAAATAAATAGAAGCAAGAAATAGGACCGACCTTGGCGAAGAGACATATTTGTTCAGCCACTAGGGGAAACAAAAACAAAAACGGACTTTCCGACAAAGTTTAGATTCTTCTAGTTCTTCATCGCCTACCCTCTATTTACTTGTGCGTGTATGTATATACAATGCAAATACAAATTTGAAGTATAAAATAAGGATTTGTGCAGCAAAATGTGGGGAGCGGATGGAGTCAATTTCCTAGTAAAGAAAAAGGCATTAAAGGCAAACAGCTGTGGTGCCCCTCTCTCTGATACTGCTGCATTTTTCTCTGTCATCTGTTCATGTTTCAGATTTATTCACTCAGAACAAAATGTGGAAAGTGGGCTGCTGGCTAATATTCTTAAATGGGGTAGCCCAAGTTCAATGCAAGCATCTGCTTGCACTGGGCATTCATTGGGTCTGCCCCTGATCGCGACAATAGAAGTTGATTAGCCACGGTAAAGTTCCTCCGTTGGGAAAACATTAAAGGAAAAAACACTTGAAACCCCAAGTTCCGACCAAGTGACAAAATGATACCAAAGGTTAAAAAATGAACTACGAAGAATACAATTCTTTCACATTATAAAAGTTCCACTTTCTTCCTTCAATTCCCCCACAAAACAGAAGTCCTCTTCAATGTCAAATCCAGGTTCATTTTAAGTTAACTGCAATAATTTTCTCTACAGTCATCAAATGAATAAATGTTTTTGAAGCACACAAGTTACAAAATCAATAATGACCTATGAGGTTA